AAAAAAGAAAAGAAAGGAAGAAAGAAAGAAAGAATTAGAATAGCGAAAGAAGGCAAAATGGTTGCTAGGATTTTAAAATGGTTATAAAGAAGTGCCCAGTTTTATTTGAATATATGTTTAGTTTAGTTCTATCACATCTCTTATCTCGTCCCTCATTTTATCCTTTATTCTATGTTACAGGCGTGGTCAACAAGCTTGGCTGACCAAAACTATGAGGACCATTTACGACAGCAATGGCTACTCCTCCTCCTCCTCCTCTTTTTCCTCCTCCTCCTCTTCTTCCTCCTCATCCTCCTTCTCCTTCTTTTATTTTTACAATTAATACACTACTACTATTACTGCTATTACTAGTATCTTTATTATAACTAAATTATAGGGTTATAGAGCGGTTAATTTATTTGATCTTACTCCATACACCTGATTACACGTATAGGTAACATTTGCATAATAAACATATGTGTGTGTGTCTTTGTATTGTATATGTGTATGCTTGTCTGTGTGTGTGTGTGTGTGTGTGTCTGTGTGTGTCCGTACATACATTATGGCTTAGTTAACAATTATGTTAAATTAACCTTTTAACCTTTATGATACAAATATTCATTCAAATGGTTTTATAAGGGAAATTTGTAATAGAATGTAATAAAATGAAAAAATTCGTAATAAAATAAAATTTTAAATCAAATAAAATAAATAAATAAAAAATAAAATAAATATTTTTTTTGAAAAGTTATTAACAGTAATTCATATTCGAAAAAAAAGATTTTTATGAATAAGGTAAAATGAGAAAAAATTCTTTTTAGGAAATAAAATGGATTATATAAAAATAATGGATAATATATTAATAAAATATAAATAATGGATGACATATAAATAAAATATAATATATAAATGAAAAGTATAATAATGCGAAAATTTTAATTTTTCAAAAATTTTGGAGAAAAATTTTATTTTTTTTCGAAATTTTATTTTTAATTTTTCTTAATTAAAAAAAATTTCAACTCTTCTGCAAAAGAGAATTTTCAATTTTTTTTCTTTCTATTAAGAGGGAAATTTTGGTAGTAAGAAAAAATTTAAAAATTGAAATATAATTCTTTTTTAATCATAATTTTATCAATTCTAAATTTTAACCTTCAAGATTTGGAAAAATTTTTTTTTGATAAGAAAAAGCGTTGAATTTTTGTTTTTTTCCCTTTTGTTTTCAAATTCTGATATTAAAATAATTTGTAACATAAAAATTTGAGAAATTTGAAATCGATAATATCTAATAGTTCAAAAACAATTATTATCCGGCCAATGTTCTATTAATTAATTTGAAATATCATAATGTGCTTTTCAATCTATTTGCATGAAATTGTCAACCCTGAGATATACCAGAATATCAGAAAAAAAATAGTTGAAATAGCAGCCTAGAATACGTTAAACTATCAAATCCTGAGTAATGCTCGAATTTCGATCCTGGAATATGCTAAAATGTCAATCCTGAAATATGTTGGAGTACCAATCATCAGACAGGTTGCTTATCACTGGCAAAATATAAAATAATTTTTCAAAATGTAAAATAATTTTTCAAGTAAATTTCATTAATTCAATTTTTGAACAAATCAAGAAAAAAAAGTTCTCTTCCATCCACATTTTCATAATATTACTTAATATAATAATTTTATTTTTCTCTATTTTCTAATTTTTTAAAAGCATTTTGCCCTAATTATGCAATAATAACAGGTAAATTAATCACTACAAAAATTCTACATTTATTAAAACTTCACACAGGTGATTTATTAAATCACTTACTCGTAATTAATTAATTACCACCTCTTATTTTCTCTTTTTTTTTCAAAGGCAGGTAATATTTAAAATTTTAATAAACAATGCACTTTTAGAAAAAATGTCTTATCAATTTTCTTTGTTCTATCTAGCTGCTATCATCTTTTTCAAATTAATTTCTTAATTTTTTAAAAAAAATAAACAAATTAAAAGGCTGTTTGTAAAACAATAAGTGCTACTACAAAATTAGGCAAATTTTAACAATTTAAAAAAAAAAAATTGATAATATTGTCCACAAAGAAAAATCGTTGAAATATTTAATTAAAAAGATTTGAAATAAATTAAGAAAAAATGGAAATAATAATAGATTAATGCATCAATGATCAAAAATTTTTCTTGGAATTATTAAAAATACTAATTATACTGATAATCTGAGAAATCGAAATTGCAAATGACAGCAGAATCAAATTTTAATACAAAAAAATATAACAGAATCAAATTTTACTCAAAAAAAATATAGCAAAATTAAATTTCAATTAAAAAAATATGATATTTTAATTCAAAAAATATTAATGAATTACATAAATAAGGGATTTCCTTTTATAATAGTAGTAATAATTGTAATTAAGATAATAATTATAATTGTAATCATTTATTGAACAAATTATTCCGGCAGATAATGCATATAACATTACTGCAAAGAAATAACAAAAACGAATCATTGAATTTTAAAATAAGAAAAACAAAAGGCAAATATGTCTTTTTAGGTTAAAATTAAAATTAAATGTTAAAATAATGCAAAAAAAGTTGAAATTTCCATTTTAAAAAATATTAAAATTTACATTTCATTTGTTAAAAGTAAAGAAATTTTAATACAAATTATACTTTTTTTAAATACGATAAAACATAAATGATTAAAATTGGCTAATAAATGAAAGGGCTGATAAGTTAGAATTTTAATCATTTTACTTGGAAAATAAACAAAAATGGTTTGGGAATGAAAAATGATTCATATAATTTCTCATTGGTTCAGTAATTTGATATAGGTTAAACAAAAATGGCATAGAAGAAAAAAAAAATGATTCATATGTGAATGAGAAAAAGTTGGGATGAATTTCGAGAAATTATTTCAATCTATCAATCTACCAGAAATTATTTCAAAATACAGAAATTATTTCAATCTATGTTATAACTTGAATAAATTAAAGGAATTCAAACCATTTAGCAAATAATAATAATAATAATAATAATAATAATAATAATAATAATAATAATAATAATAATAATAATAATAATAATAATAATAATAATAATAAATAATAATAATAATAATAATAATAATAATAATAATAATAATAATAATAAT